GGATTATGTTCTGTTTTCTTAAGGGACTTTGTCAAGGTATCCCAGTGGAAGTTATTTTCAGTAAGTTACATATGAAAAAACGTTACCAAAAAAATGGAACAAAACATGGAGTCAATTGAGAAATGTTGACTGCAGGTGATTTTCCTAAATTGCATAGCATCTTATGAAGATATTGAATGGATAAAGCCACAACCTTATAAGGCAAAAATGCACATGTGAAATCCAGCTTGATAATGACTATTCTTTGTTTAAAAAAAAAAAAAACTGCTTAGGAAGCAACATCCTAGTGTTGAAAACAAATTCACAAATTTAGAGATCTAATTGACAGCATTCTATTTAGATATAACAAGGTTTACACAAAAGGATAGGCTGAAAAAGATTGGGATAAGTTTATTAACAAAAGGAAAATTATTTTGGATAAAACTTTCCTGACCAAGGTCCTTACTAAAATATCATTGAAAACAAGTATGTAATACTTAATGTGAATTTAACTGTAACTACAGTGTTGTCAACCACCCTTACCTCAAAATAAAATAATAATAAATTAGGTTTGGTTTCTTAAAAAATAACTGTTTGTAGCTCTGTCCTCTAGCTATAAAGTTGTTTCTCATAGGCATATGGTTCAAAAATTCTTAAGCCACTATAATGGTATACTGAATTAAAAAAATGAAGTAAATGGATAATAGATCATCAGTGCTAGCTAGTTGTTCACTGCTGAGGTAGGAGATTACAGAAAAAGCAAGAAGACCCCAATGATTTATGTGATAATGCACTAGTGTCAGTTAACCAGAATAAACTGTGTTCAGCTTACTATGCATTCTGAGGACTATATGTAGAAATAATTATATGTGTTTAAGCACATGAGAGCATCCCCCCCAAAAAAAGAAAGAAAATTCTACATTTTACTGGAAATTTTGTAAAACTTTTACCACTGTCCTGCCCTCTGCCCAAGAGCTTGGAGTCAGAAGATCAATGACTCTTGTTTGCCGTGAAGAACCTCCTGGCAAGGAACAAAACAAATTTCCTAAACATCCACAACCAATCCTCTGGATGTCTGTAAATTGCCTGGCTCACTCATTGAGAAGGCTGGGAAATATGTGGTCATCTCATAAGCAAGAAACACAACTAACACCCAGATAATAGTTTCTAAGAACATTCTTCAACTAGGACTCCTATGATATCTGACTGATTTGAGAACAGGGTGGGAGATTTATATGATGAGCCCAAATACATTACAGTGTGTGAAAGTAATCATACCGAGGTAATTCACATGACTTGTTTTCTGGTGTTCTTACAAAACATCCACTCCTATTCCATGTTCATGCATTTTTACTTTTATAAATGACCTTGTACCAGTAACTCAACTTCCAGTTGTAAATTTAAGACCAATAGAGAAAAATTTTGTGACCCAAAAAAAGTATTGCTGCAAAGAGGATTTAACCACCACAGAAGAGAATTATACCAGAAATAATTCTTTCTAGAGTTTGATTAGTCTTGTGCTTACTTCAGTAGCACAAAATATACTAAATTTGGAATACTACTTAGCTTTATTAGCCACTACATACATAAAAATGTATATTTAAAATATCCAGTGGTTAAAATATATTTGTGTGACAGGAAATTTATAGAAAAGTTCAAACATAACACACAAACTTCATTTTTAAATATGCTATTTGATTCCTTTTTAGTATTTATTTTCTGCCTTCTCTCACCAGAAGTAAAATCATTTTTAAAAGTACTATGATAACCTTTTTGAGGATTGTTTTTTGAAAGGCATATCCTTCTTTTAAAATTCACTTCATTTCTTTAAATAATGACTGTGCTAATTGTATTAAGTTTAATAAGAGAAGGGGGAGAAATGCAAAGGATAATGGCATAATAAAAATATCATTTATGGATAGATTTTATTCTAAATTCATTGCTAGCTCTTCAATATTCCATTTTTCACAATAATAAATCTTTGGATGCAGATGAGTTACTTTGACAAAGTAACTTCATCACTGTCTTTAAGTTGTCATGAAGTTGAATTCATCCCTTTAATATAGGCTCAGAATGCTGCCAAGAAGACTAGGAGGAGGGGTTCTTTGAGGCCTCTAGATGGAGACATTGTTAAGGAACCAACCCTGGGTGACATCTCTGGGGATGCAATTAGTGGGCCCTAGAATCACCTGTGCTCCAGAGTTAGGGTCTCAAAGGCTTATAAATTCCCATCAATTTTCATTCCCACAGCTTTGTAGAGATTCTGCCTGAGAACTGCAGCAGTTTCTCCATTAGAGGTGGGTAGAAAACGTTTGTCTTATTTTCATATAATGTTTTTTAAAAGCTCCAACATTGTACCTTAAAATGAACAAATTAACTTTCATTTTGGATGGCTCTATGCAGTATGTATATAGTCCAATAACATGACTGTTTAATTAAGGTCTGTTTTCCGGTTTCATTGATTTGGGGGCAGCAGACACAGACCATCAAATGTGATTCAGGTTTTCAGTTTCCTCCTAGAACTAGTCTCATTATGTCTCATGGACTTACTATTACTTCACTATTGAAGTAATGGGTACTTGCTCCCTGTGATCACCTATATCATAATTTTATTTCTGTGATTTTAGCTAAGATAACATGTCTCATAGAATAACCAGTGAGAGAAAAAATTTCCTTAGGAAAATTATCCATTAAATCGCCACATACACACAAATGTATTTAGAGAAGCATAATATATAATCAATGCAATAATGGATCATTTTTAGATAAATCATTTATCTTATACTAAAACAAATGTGTCAATGTTTTAGTAGAAAATGTCTCAAAAAGAAGGATATGTTTGAGAAGAACTATTTCATAAGCAGGTGCAAAACCCTAAGGAACTGCAAAGCCCTCTATTCCTTGTTCATAGCACAGAGTCTTTAGAAATACACTCAAGGAGACATAAAACTCAGAAAGGAAATGTTCATTTTCCAAGTTACCCTTAACAGGACTGAAAATGTTCAAAAGCAAATTAACTTTCTTTTCACTTTGTCTAATAATTTTATAACAAACGGACATTCTAAGTTTCAACTATTTCTATGTTTTTGAAGGTTATTAGTATAACCTATTAGTGATATAAATTTTATGCTAATTTAAAGAAAAGCCACCTCTCATGTTAGCCTCCCACTTAATGGAATTCATAAGAATATCGAAAATTCCTCTGTGATCAAAAATAGCATGCGTAAATACTCCAAAATCAAGTCATTTAGCTTCATTTAACACTTTTAGATACTGATCAGATGGGGCCACTGCATGCTGAGCAAACTTTCATATAATAGGTCACCTCTCACAAAAACAAAAAGAAACAGTCTCCAAAGAACCAATATGAACATGGACACAGAGGGCCAGCGATGGAAATCCACATGTGATGTATGCCTGCTAGGGTAGAATGACTAGAAAATGATAGGGACCTGATAGTGAATGCATTGAAAATAATAAAATATTTTTCAATTATTCTAAAAAATAGCTCAGATAATGTCTTCATGATTCAAATAATTTAAATGACTGCCGCTTGTCTACAGCTTATCTCAGAAAGTCATGACATGGAGCTCAAAAATGTGCAATAGTCAATGTCAGTGTTAATGAAAACGTGACCTAAGGAAGAGGATGGATGGGTGCTTAGGATGGGAAAGTAATTATAGAAATTGGCATAATGCCATATAAAATATTCTTACACAAAATTAGAGAATGACTAAGATGTTCTTTGTTTAAAATTTTTTCTGGGAAATTTACTGTTGCAATTTATAATGATGTATATAACCAGCAACACATTAGATTTGAGCATAAATAGAATAGATACAATTTGGAAATATTCCTTTGGTCTGAAAGTAGATGTTTGCCAGGGGAGACTGTGGAGAGACCGAAAGCTGCAGATAAAATATTAATACTGATAAACACAGAGAAGTCAAGACAAGAAAAATGCATGTGGAGACACAGAAGCAATATCCTATAGTATAGTGTTTGGGGATAAAAGGAATGTCAGCATCTCAAAACAGGCTTGTCTCTCAGTGAAAAGGAATGCAGATTAATTTAGAAATATATTAGGATTTGTTGATTAGACATTTTGGGGAAGTATACATGCTATTATCATCTAGATTGATTTTTTTTTTACTATCTGCAAGTATAAGCACATTAGTGTTTTCTAGATTTAAATATTAGCTGTCTAAATGATTGTTTCCTACACATGCAAAGCTTAATTATAGCCTCTAATATTCAAATATCATGTACATTGACCTAACTGCAAAGAAACCCAAAAGTTTGATCTATTCCCCCCCCCATTGTCACTCCTCTCTATTAGATATGTCCAAACATGAATTATGATAAAGATATTATCTTGTTTTGGCTTCCAAATGGTAGACTCATCTCCTTATCTCTGATTTTTTTTTTCCATTTGGTCCATGTTAACGTTAAATTTCACCAAAAAGAAAATTCTCTAACAATTAATTTTTCATTTTTTAAATTTCAACTCATAATTTCTATTTTAATTCACCAATTTATTATCTTCATAACTACAAGAACACTCTTTTATTTAAAAAATAGATAGGGGTTAAATCATGTATTCTGAACAAAATAATATGAAAGCTCATAAAAAATCAATTACAAACATTAGTTGGGACTTAAAATTCCTCACAGTCAGTCAAAAACATAAGATATAAATGTGGCTTCTATTGTTTGCACACTGCAACTGTCAGTGACAGTACTAAGGAAAACTTGACCAAGGAAGTAGAAGAGGGGAATGTTTAGGGCAGGAATATTTTTAGGAAAAATAGCCAAAATACTATACAAAGTTTGGAAAGAGAAAATTAGAGGATGGAAAGGATGTTTTTACTTAAAATTGTTGCTTTTCAGGTAGTGAAAAAACTGGAATTTTCCTCAAGGTATTGTCTTGACATCTAATAGCAAGTGTATATATGAATTCCTTGAAGACTATAACAACTTCTCCTTTTGGACCCCAAATAGATGAATTTCAAGTCTCTTACATGGCTCCAGGGAATCTCACCAGAGTCACAGAATTCATTCTCATGGGAGTCTCAGATCGGCCACACCTCCAGATCCCACTCTTCTTTGTCTTCCTGGTCATCTATGGACTGACTGTGGCAGGAAATGTGGGCATCATCACCCTCACCAGTGTGGACTCTCACCTTCAGACCCCCATGTACTTCTTCCTCTGCCATTTGGCTATTGTCAATCTTGGCAACTCTACTGTCATTGTCCCTAAAATGTTGACCAATATTTTAGTAAACAAGAAAACTATCTCTTACTATGAATGTGCCACCCAACTGGGGATGTTTGCTATTTTCATTGTAGCTGAGGTTTTCCTGTTAGCAGTGATGGTATATGACCGCTATGTGGCCATCTGTAACCCTCTGCTGTACACGGTGGTGATGTCTCGGCAGAAATGCGTTCTTCTGGTATCCCTCACCTACCTCTGTGCGGTTTCTACTTCTATTGTGGCAACATATAGTGTATTCTCTGTGGCATATTGCTCTTCCAATCTAATAAATCATTTTTTCTGTGATAGTGTCCCTCTGTTAGCATTGTCTTGCTCTGACACCTACCTCCCAGAAACTGTGATTTTTGTATCTGCAAGTGCAAATAATATTTTTTCCATAACTATAGTTGTAGTTTCTTATTCCAACATTGCTTTGGCCATCCTCAGGATGCATTCAGCAGAAGGAAGGAAGAAAGCCTTTTCCACGTGTGCTTCACATATCACAGCGGTCACGATTTTCTACGGGACAATATTATTTATGTATGCGCAGCCTCAGAGTAGACATTCACTGGATACTGACAAAATGGCTTCTGTATTTTATACTCTGGTGATCCCCATGCTGAATCCCATGATTTACAGCCTGCGGAATAAGGATGTGAAGGATGCCTTAAAGAGGTTTCTGACAAATTCGTGTTGTGCTTCTAAATCAGTATAATTTAACAACTCATAGGTAAATGAAATGGTGGTTAGCATTGCTGCACAGTGTCAAAGGTTAGGTGACTGACATAAATTTACAAGAAATCCTGAGAACTAAATGAAGCCAGGATTTGGGAAACAGTGAATGAAAAACTAAACTGACTTCTTGGAGCTATGGTTTTAATACAGAAAAAGCAACGTTTACAAACTTAGTCAAGCAGAATGCGAGTGGATAGATTGAAATGAATAATTCCCAATGTCAGGAAATTGAGTAATTTGTAAGTGGTAAGTTAAAAAGTAGCAAAAAATATAAATAAGAGTAGTAAATTGATTGTTCCCTGAATTCATTTTTCTTCATGGGTGTATTAGGGGATGGTGGATCATTGTCACTTGAAGAACTGTAATTCCAGATCTTTAAAACCTTTTCTGAAGTAAATAAGCAAAATTAAACCAATAGGTATATTTATATAAATATTCAAAAAAAAGTTTGATGAAGAATAAACACTACTGATGAATTTATATCCTGAATATTAACCAAAATATGACTACAATTATGTTTTATTCCAGTTGATGTAAAAATACATTTTTATGATAGACACAGAATCGTATCATTGAATATCCTTTTTCATCTGGGTACCATTTGATTGATAAACTCAGTGGATTCTCTAAGTTTTCCTTTCTTTCCACTGGAGGTGTCAGTGTTCTTATGAGGATGCATTAAATATATTGCCTGTAACATTATTAGGCATTCAATGGGCCATGTTTATCAAAGTCCCTATGTCATTAGAAGAAAAATTTCATTGTTATTATATAAATTTCTTGTTTTCTGACAGGTTTTGATCAGTGAATGTATACTGAAAACAGTTGTGCAACTGTGAATATACAGAGATGATCTCAGATTTATGAAAACTCAGTTGTATTAACAAATGTGATAATAAATAAACAGCTTACCATTTACATAGTAGACCATGTTGGGCGTTTTCAATGAAGAAGAATAGTAATCTTTCTTAGAAATTAATTGACTTAAAACAATTGTACTACTATATTAGCCATGTCAAGAATAACCCCCAAATACTACATTTCATTTGATTTACAAATAGATAGAATGTTAAGACATTAAGTGTTAAGAGACAAAAGGCATCAAGCCTATGTTATTTAAAAATTTCATGTTCTATACACTAACAGTGCAATGAGTAGAACTTTGGAAGGAACAGTGTAAAAATGTTTCTCAATCTTCAGAAGTCTCTTTGTAAAAGCACTGAGGGAATATTTTCCTATAATCTCTGTTTCTCCCTCTTCTTTCCAATGGATCTGGGCATTGCATTTCATCAATTACTTTAATTTATTGTTCATCTTTTTTAAGAAGTCACATGAAGAAACACAATGAGTAGAGGAATCAAATGAACTTTGAATTTTGTATATCAATAAATGTGTAGACACCATTATTACCATTGTAAATAGAAAGGGATAATCTTGTAAAAGTTATTATTCATGAAAAAAAAAGAGCGCTCTCCTTGTATTGGCAACCAAAAGCAATACTCTTTCATGCCAAACAGTATGATGTGAGAGGCAAAAGGTGTTATCAAGGATGAAAAAGTTAAGCATGTCAATATGAATGAGGTAAGAGAAAAAACCAAAAGGTAATGACAGTGAGTATAATTGGAATAAAGGATGATAGGATGGCATAGTGTACCTTAGACTGTGTAGATCCACAGCTGCCATAGGATAATATTCGATGTATTTGTAAGTTAACCATGTCATAAACTATGTCATGAAGAGCACATGTAATTAGAAAAACACAAAGGGGGCCTCCCCTGGTGGCACAGATGTTGAACGCTAGGCTGTGAAGCTGCCTGCAGCCTCTGCAGCGCTGGTTTGATCCCCTGCCACTGGCGAGGGTCCCACATGGCGCTCAGACCTCTCCTGCCGCACCCACTGCTCCCCTTAGCAGTGTACTTTGGTCCTTTTGACTGTTCTCCTCCCCGCTTTGGCTCTGGTGAATTCTCTCACCCTCCAGAGCTTCTGACTGAACCCAGTACTTGTATAAATAAATAAATAAATCTTTAAAAAAGAAAAGAAAAACACAAAGGAAAAAAATCATATTACACTGACCCAAAAAGCTTGTGTGGTATTTCTGAAATGTCACTTGAGCATATTAGTCACAGAGAAACCAAAGAATCAGAAACCAACACATCAGACTTAGGAAACTCCCATAAAGCCTAGTAGCTTCTGATGTTTAATAGGGACTCACACTGTTTATTGTGGTCTACTTATGATAATAGAGGCAATCACAAAGACACTGAGCATGCATTAACCATAAGATAAGCATCCATGCTAAAGTACAATAAAAATAATTCCTAGCCTAAAGTCAACTGTCCTCAAAATTCCTTAAAGAGGAATACAAAAGAACAGCTGAGAATTAAAAATTTTATATCATCTATTATGACCAAAGATTAGAGACAAATGATCCACTTCTGATTAACTATTACAATTAATCTGATTAATTATAATTAATTATGTTAATATACATGAAATTACTTAATTAAAACAAGTAGTAAAGATGGAACATCTCACTAGCAACAAACACATCAACAGCCAAGATATTAGTTTCAAGTAGCATTTTTTGATGAAAGGAAAGGACCCCTTGGCAGGGGTCCTTTGAGATTTGACTGATTCAGGACTGAGAGGAAAATCTATAGGACGAGCCCAAGTATATCACAATGCCTGAAAGTAAGGAAGAATTAGGAAAGAGAACTAAAAAAACAGAAGGGGAGCAAGAGAGAGAGGAAGAGGGGCAGAGGGGAGAAGAAAGAAAAGCAGACAATGATGGGGCATGCAGTCAAATCTCACATCATAAGAGTAAACAAGACATATACAAGGCTCAGATAAAGATGAGGCATAATGTCAAATCTTTCAGTTATCAATCATTTGGCTTTGGGCTAATGACATACTTTATCTGAGCTTGGTATCATCTGAATATGGTAATAATGAGATCTATCTCACAATGTTAATGATATCTTTTTTTTAACCCAGTGCCTAGTACATACTCTTTTAAAAAAATAAATTCAAATTTAAAATCCTGCTTCATTTACAATTCTACGAACTGTGCCAGTTCGGATAGGCTAAAGTTCATGTCAGAGGGTTTTTCCATTGTTACTGAATCCCTGAAAGTGATTAGTGTTTTCCTATTTTGGATATTCCTTACATTCTCTCACTGGTAAACATGCAGGGTGTCCTAAATAATTAGCACCACAAGGAAAGTTTTAAAATTCTCAGATGATTTGGTATAATCATCTGAATGAATTACAAGGGAGTTCCTTAGGGAGTATCACAAAGGGAGAGGGAAAGTATAAATTCCCAATACCCAAAGAAAAACTAGTAGTAATTTGGGAGAAGAAAGTATAATTTCCTGTTAAAGGTAAGAGTTTTGATTCTGTTTATAGGCTGAGTCTTAGTAACTCCCTGTGATTCCTGGTTTATGACATGGACACACTTATAGTCACTGATAGCTGATACTTCATACCACAAAAATTCATTGTCCTTCATTAACTGGGTTCCTGGAGTAGTGTGGTATTTTTTTTTTTCATTATGAATTGACAAGATGTTAGAGAGCAGTTGATTTGTGAAAGTTGATAGTGGCATTCATATATTGCAAGTAAAGTTGAAGGAAGAAACATCTGAAGAAATCATCATTGATCTCACGTATTAGAATCTTAGAATCTACTAAGATTCAGTTTCCAGATAAAACACAGATGTCCATATCCAGGCATTCTTCTAGCTAAAGGGGCAAACCAATATTAAATGATCATATGGTCCTCACTCTCTGGAACTTATCTTCAAATCTTCAGGAGAGACTATGACAGGACTTCTTGGCCAATAAAACTATCGTTCTGATTGGGAAGTGTTTCTAGTTTACATAGGAGCAGGTGAGAGTCTTGAAATAATCATCACTTGAAAAATATTCAGGCTTGCTTATAATGGCATGCAGAATCTTTAGCAAATATATAAAACACAACCGTCAGGCAAGCTCTAAAAGTAAGGATGCTTCTTCTCATTATTCTTATTATAAAAAAATGTCAAAATGTGTTAAACTGCTTAGACAAAGTTCAACTAAAAATTAAGGTCAGATTTTATATTTCATAAATTTAAAAAATAATGCTACATCATATAACTTTAAGAAATATTAAAACAATAAAAAGAATAAGTGGAATTGCATCAAATTATGGGGTAAAAAGAGTTAGGAGAGAGGAGAGAAAGCAAGCAGTATCCAGGAAAGCCTAGTACGATAGAATTATGAAAATGGTTATTTTTCACAGATTATATTTTTAAAAGCTGGAAAGAGACCACTAACCTAAAAAAATGTCTGAAGACTTTTATCTGTTTAATTTATCTGAGTTAATAAAATGAAAAAAGAGAATAATCTATTAATAGATATGGATAGTATAACTTAAAAAGTCAATGTGCATCAAATAAATGTTTTAGAAAACTAAGAATAAAGAAAATGGGCCAAGAAGGCATCTAAATCATTTATTCTTGGAAGAATGTAAGAAATCTCAGAGAAAAGAAATCATTAAGATACACTGAATTAATTGGAGGCATTCAATACCTCAAATCTTCCTTATACTTAATGCAGAAGACAAGAGAAATTAATGGTGGCTACTACTGCTTGCAAACTAATTATCTATTCATTGTTGAAGAAGAAACTGAGGACGTAAATCCTCCACAAAGGCATGATGCTGTATCACCTATTTAATTTATCAGTCTTGTTTCGATTCTCTCCCAGTGATTACTAAATACTTTTATTATATCTAGAAACTTGAATTTAATAACATTTTATACATGATTCCAGGAAATCTTACCCAATGAATTGCTCTTGACAGTCCTGGATAGCGATTCCTTGAAGTGATTCCTTGAAGATTGTAATCTCCTCTCTTTTTGGTCTCCAAACAGATGAACCCCCAGTCTCTTACATGGCTCCAGGGAATCTCACCAGAATCACAGAATTCATTCTCATGGGAGTCTCAGATCACCCAGACCTCCAGATCCCACTCTTCTTTATCTTCCTGGTCATCTATGGACTGACCGTGACAGGAAATGTGGGCATCATCACCCTCACCAGTGTAGACTCTCGCCTCCAGACACCCATGTACTTCTTCCTCCGCCATTTGGCTATCATCAATCTTGGCAACTCTACTGTCATTGCCCCTAAAATGTTGACCAACATTTTAGTAAAAGATAAATTAATTTCTTACTATGAATGTGCCACCCAGCTGGGGGTGTTCTTGGTTTTCATTGTTTCTGAGGTTTGCCTGCTAGCTGTGATGGCCTATGACCGCTATGTGGCCATTTGTAACCCCCTGCTCTACATGGTGGTGGTGTCTCGGCAGCTCTGCCTTCTGCTGGTGTCCCTCACCTACTTCTATGGGGTTTCTACTTCTATTGTGGCGACATACAGTGTGTTCTCTGTGACTTATTGCTCTTCTAATGTGGTCAATCACTTTTTCTGTGATATTGCCCCTCTGTTACCCTTGTCCTGCTCTGATACTTACTTTCCAGAAACAGTAGTTTTTATATCTGCAACAACAAATTTGGTTTTTTCCATGATTACAGTGGTATTATCTTATTCCAACATTGTTTTGTCCATCCTTAGGATGCGTTCAGCAGAAGGAAGGAAGAAAGCCTTTTCCACATGTGCTTCACATATCATGGCAGTCATGGTTTTCTATGGGACACTCTTATTCATGTATGTGCAGCCTCAAAGCAGCCATTCACTGGATACTGACAAAATGGCTTCTGTGTTTTATACTTTAGTGATCCCCATGCTGAACCCCATGATCTACAGCCTGAGGAATAAGGATGTGAAGGATGCCTCAAAGAGATTTCTGACCAATTCATTCTGTGCTGTTAAATCAATATAATTTTACAAATCTATAGGTAAATGAAGAGATGGTCAGTATAGGCTGTCATTAAAGCAAAGGTTAATTGAGTGATTTATAGATTAAATGTAATCCTGAGAATTTACAAAGAATAGGTAGAATAAAAATTAAGCCAAAACTCTTAGATTCTTGAGGATAATATGGAACAAATCACTATTCATTAACTTAGCCAAAGTGTATGCAGATTGATATGTTAACAGAAATGTATCCAGGAGTCAGGTGAGGTAGAAGTTTAAAAAATTAAATAATTTAAAATGAAGCAATGAAATATGAATAAAGGAGAGAGAAGTAGTTATTTCTTCTTTTTCCTTCCTTTTTTCTTCGTGGGTATGTTTGGGCATAGAGGATCAGCGTCTTAAAAAAAACTGTAATTACAAATGGCTGAAGACTTGTTTACTGCACTTTACAAAATTAGACAAGAATATTTAAAATAAAACTGTAACATGTCATCTGAATTGAGATATAAAATAATAATAAATTTATACTCTGAAGCCAACCAAAATATGATCATAATTATTTGTATTCCAATTGATATGTACTTTTTTGTGTGCTTTCAATTTGGATACTATTTGATTGACTATTTGATAGTGGATTTGGCAAGAGTTTTCCTTTCTCCCTGCTTTTTGGATTAGTCTTCGTAATATGTGTAATGTATGTACTGTCCTGTGACATAATTAGATATTCAGTGGGCCTGTTTAAGGAAGTTCTTTGCATCATTAAAGGAAAAATTAATTGTTTTCATAAGTATTTTCTGTGGTTTGATAGATTTTGTCAGTTTCTGCATACCAAAATCTAGCAGACATATGAGACTTAGGAAACTCCTCTGAAGTCTGGTACACCTGGTGTTCAATAGGGACTGACCTTGATGTACTTATGATACCGGAGTCCAACCACAAAGACCTATCACCACCTGTCTGTCTGTCTGTCTGTCTGTTTGTTTGTTGTTTGTTTACTGCACTGTACATAATGACCAAGCATCTCATTACCAAACCACAAGTCACGATGTTTCATATAAAGACAAGCAAAGATGTATCATTCATTCAGTTGCACCAGATTCATTTCCCAATTAGAAAAAAGAAGAAACACTATGTATCCAGATAGCTATTTAATGCCTTGAACATATAGTTATAGTGTATATAATTCCTATCTTGATTATCATTTGCACAATATTACCAGGTTGTGATTTCTAAGTATTTGCTATATTCTCTTATTCAGTCAAAATATCCTGTTCATAGACCAGGAAAAAGAAATTTAAGATTCTACCACCTTCTTTATTATACTGTATCCCAGAATTATATATAAATATTTATTTAATAGAAAAAAATTAAGTGACAAATTTTACATATATAACCAGTATATAAAGTGCACTATCTTCTTTCTCTACATACTAAACTAACAATATATTCCTTATTCCTATCCAAGTTCAAAGTGACTAGTATGAAATTTAATGCCCAGAGTTTTTGCCCAGTGCCTTGTGCACATAGTAGGAAGGAGAACCTTGGAGGAAATTGATATATTTTTCATTTCATAAGATGTTATTTGTAAGAATTTTAAAAAGGTAATTTCTACCTGCCTTTAAAGGTCAAATTCAAAAAGACTGACACTCTACATACGCAAAAATATTTTTAATATTCATATTTTAAGAGTTAGAACAATAAAGCAACAATTTTATACTCAAGACAGAGCCAAAGATAAACAGTTATTTAAAAACAGGGAATTGCATCAATAAATCTTCATAAATTAAGAAATCTTGGCACCCCAATTAAGCAGTGACGCTAATTTTTCTGATAATCCTACTTGCATTGTGCTTTGAGATAAGATCCTCTGGGACAGAAATACTGACAAAAACATGAGTCAACTGCTCCCAGAGTCACTGGGAGGAGAAGTAGGAGCAACCAGTACCCAGGTAGGTTAGAAGAGTATATTCAGGATTGTGGGTTTTGCCTCACTGGTGTGTAACAACATGGACTTAGTAGTTCAAGATAAGAGCTTTGAAAATTACAGAATCATGCAATGGACTGGAACAAAAAAAATTGGAGTATATTTTGCAAAATAAAGTTTAATGGTGCTTTTTCTGATTTTATATGAGTTTTGTTAAAAGTATTAAAAGCAACTTGGTTAGAAGTAAAAAAAAATAATTGAAGAACTGGAAGGAAATGAAGAGAAAACATAATTAACCACCTTTTTAAAAATATACATAAATAAGTTGACTCAAAATGTTGAAGACATAACCCCAGGCTTATGTAGATTACTAGTTGCAGAGCCAGGTCTAGAAGGTAAGGCTGAATGATTATGTATTTGTGTACATAGCACTTAATGCCCATTTTCAGGTTGTCTGCTTGAAGACTTCTGTGCTTTAAATCCTTCCTTCTTGCTTTTGATAATGCTGGGAAACCTTCCCGTGACCTCCCACCCCCTCAAAGTCTTCTACTTAGAGATCTTCCTCTCTATCCTGTGCTTGACTACATCAGATTGTTTTATTTTTATTTATTTATTTATTTTTATTTTTAATTTTTAAATTTTATTTTTATATTCCCCATACAATTACAGCTCCCTACACTTTCCCCGCCCCCCACTCCCCATAGAGTGTCTCTGGTTCATAGTTGTTTGTTGCTTTTGATTTTTTCTTTCTTATAGTTATTCTTTTTCCTGGTCCCTTATTTAAGTTTTCTAGATTCTTGCTATGAGTAAGACCATCCGGTATTTTCCTTTTTCTTTCTGGCTTATTTTGCTGAGCATGATCCCTTCCAGCTCCATCCATGTTGCTGCAAATTGCATGTGTTTATCTTTTTTGAATGCTGAGTAATATTCCATGGTATATACACTGATTTTTTAAAAGTAAGATAAACAACTAGTAGTACTCAATAATTAATTGTTTATTAGTAGAACTTAGAGGAATAGATGTAATATGTTTTTTTAACCAGATAACTGTTTGGAAGCTAGCATCATTCACCCAGGATAATGTGCTCCAGGCATTTGGGCTGGATAGGGTGGTGTTTGAATTGCTCATTCTATTTCGAGCATTTAAATTTAGGCATCTTGAGAATATCTAATAAAGTTGTCTTGGAATCTATTAGTGATGTATTTGTTCAAATAGTTCTTGGTCTTTACTTTCTCTTTTAAAAGAGTTATGGGATAGATATTTCAATTACATAAAATTTAAAATAAAAGGTCAGTTTTATCTCTTTCTGCAAATCTCCACAATTTCATTTTTGGAATTTCTGCCTAGAATATCATTTCATCCTGAAACCAGAATTAACATGAAGATTCACCTTTTAACACATTCAATGTAAGATTATGAAGGGTCATAACCGGCACCAAACTTCTGTTTGATTATTCCCAATGGAGACCAGTCCACTCAGAATACATGTTCTGGAGGATTTTAAAATGTAAAAGACCTTCAAGCCTATTCCATGGCCAACAGCAATCATTCAGCAGTGTCTGAATTTATCCTCTTGGGACTCACAGATAATCCAGAGCTTCAAGTCCTTCTCTTTGGTGTATTCCTGATAATCTATTTAACAAGTGTCTTGGGTAATATTGGTTTGATTGTGTTAATTCATATCAGTCCTCAACTTCAAATACCCATGTATTTTTTTCTTGGTCATCTGGCTTTTGTTGATTTTTCTTTTACTTCATCTGTCACCCCAAACACTTTGGTGGATTTTCTGTGTGAAGTTAAAAGTATAGGGTTTTATGCCTGTGCTGTGCAAGTGTGCTGCTTCATCACCTTTGTTGTGTGTGAGATGTATTTGCTCTCAATCATGGCATATGATCGGTATGTTGCCATCTGCAGCCCTTTACTCTATGTCATTCTCATGCCCAGGAAACTCTGTAACCAAATGATCGCCAGCACATACATCTATGGATTGACTGTGGGTCTCATACAGACTGTGACCACCTTCCAATTGTCTTTTTGTGGCTCCAATGTCATCAACCAATTCTACTGTGATGAAGTTCCCTTGATCGGGCTGTCCTGCTCTGACACGCATGTCAAAGAGCTGATGTTGCTAATCATTGCTGGATTGAACATCCTTTGTTCTCTACTGATTGTGACAATTTCATATGTGTTCATCCTCTTTGCCATCCTGAGAATTCATTCCACTGAAGGAAGACACAAAGCCTTTTCTACCTGTGCTTCCCACCTGACCTCCATAACAATATTTTATGGGACAATCATTTTTATGTACCTACTGCCCAAGTCTAGCCAATCTTTAAACAGAGATAAGTTTGCTTCAGTGTTTTATGTGATAGTGATTCCCATGTTAAATCCATTGATCTACAGCTTGAGGAATCAGGAGGTAAAAAATGCACTGAAAAAAATTATAGAAAAGTTGGTTTTGGCTATTAAATAGATGAAAAGTATTATACAAGAAGCTTGCCAAGCACCATTTGCAAAGTAGTATCTTATCTAGTCTTGAAGCGGGTAAATGATAGTCAAATCCCTAATTTCCAGTGCCCAGATTCATGAAAAATATGTTTTACCCACCATTTCATTCTCAGTGACTTTCATAGGAAAGGCAATGTGTAAATTTTCCGTTCCTGAATTATAAAAGAAGAGACAAAGAGAGAAAGAACTTAATCCTAGGTGGGCATGAGATCTTATTCATAAAGAAACAAATGGAAAATGGCAACTTTATCTGAATTTTGTGCCCTGTTGAGAAATGTGAATTCTACTGAAATAAATCAACACCTGATATCTTGAATTTCAGATTTGATGTGCTGATAAACAGAAAAGCATGTCCAATTTGCATAGATGGTGGATGAGTTCCCTAACACTCCACTCTCTGCATTCAGTTGAAGGGATAACACCAGCAGGGCTGACTTGACACTGAACACCCAGTGATACCAATGATGAGTCAGCTTAGTTCTTTGAGCTATGTTACAGCACTAGATCCCTCTGTCTGTTCCTATTAGGTGGCTACTCCTCCTGTACACACTTTGCTTAGCAATTTTATATTTTCCAAAGAATAGCTGTTGTCACTGGTAAATTTATTTCCTGTTTTTGTATCTTGGTTTCTTCAATGGAAAAATGGCAGTAATAATAGCTCCTTTTTCTTGGACTGATGGTGAAGATTAAGTAAGATATTAAATATATAAGGTATCACACAGGTCCTAGTACATAGCAAGCACTTGATTAAAAAATGTTGAATATTAAATTTAATTATTAACATTGTTAATGCATCATCATCCTTTTATTTTGTTTCAAGTGATAGGGTAATAACTTTTTTTAGAAAAGGCAACACAATATGTTTCATTTTTAAATCAATAAAATGAAAACACAAATGATAAGGAGCTATTTTATATTGATCCTTAGAGCAATTTAGTCATTTTAAGTTTCCTTTTGTGTTTATGAACATATTAAATGGAATGTCTTTATGTTTCTCCCATTCAAATATTAAAATAATTCATTTTTCTTAAAAACAAAATTAAACCACTTTGGCTACATGCAGGAAAGATTAGATTAATAAATTGAATCTTTTTAGTTCCAAAACTTTCAAAGTAAAACTAGAACATCTATTAAATATTTTTCTCTGTGTCAGATGCTGGACAAAATGAAGAAGTGGATGCTCTTGGTTAATTTTAGTGAAACCCTACTGGGAGGCATATTTAAAGAACAAAGAAATTCAAAGCAGTTTTGTAATTCACTAACACTCATGTAGCTAATATCCAGGACAAAAACAAGGTTTTGAGTTCAACTCTATGAAACTTAATTTTTTAATGATTCTCTTATATTTCCAGCTGCAGCCATATGTTGGCATTAAAAAAAAAAACTGAATAGTCAGTTACAATAATGTCATTCAGCACCTTCACTTAACATTTTTCGTAAGTTAAAAAAAATACTAAAAAATATGTGAACCTGTGAGCATGGGGTAATAAGATCTAAGGAATTTTCCTTGCTGACCCAGGTCACCAGGCACAGGTCCCCTTGTACTCCAAGCTTCTGAACTGAACATAAAAGCCCAGATGCGGTAAGAATCACATATATGACAAACTTTCGTGTTTCCCTGAAGGTGTGTCTTTTGGTAGACTTTCCAGGTTGACCATAAGGACCAGGAGATGCCGCACCAGGAGCTGACATTCCTGCAGACCCCGCCCACACTAAACTCTGCCTTATAACTTTCCACCCTGTCCCCTCTAGGAGATAGTTTCTTTGGACTTACTAGTTTTACTGTCTCCTTTTCTTGTTACTAAAAAATAAATATTGTGCCTCCATCTTGGGGTGTCTTTTATTCAGCCCAGACACCCACCAAGAGAACAAACACATTGAATTTGGTTACTGGTTTGAATCTGGCATGGAAAATAGATTCCCCGCTGCTGCTCATACACTGGGGCATGCAGGGGTGGGGTGTTGGTGAGGAGAGGTGGGGGATAATTAAGTAAGGAGGAAATGACCAGAGATGGGGCAAGGAAGTCTGTCTTTTACACCTCTGCTTATGGGTGATGTTAACTTGAGATAGACAGACTGACAGACAGACAGGTATATCTCTATCTATGTATGTGTATGTATCAGGGAGTCCAAAGAAGAAAGAGTATACATACCAACATTTTCTCTAAATCTAACTGACTAAAAAATGAACACTTATTGATTTTGCTGTTTGGACTGAGGGCTAGTGTTTCATGTGGTGAGTGCAGCCGCCCGGCGATTGTTAGAGTTTGGTTTTAGAAGCTGCTTGAACTGTGTTGGTCCATCCCAGAGGAAGCTGAAACAGTATGGCTACCAAGTACATTTGATTTTCATAGTTTATCGCCCTGAAAATCCATGCTTACTTTAAGAAGTGATCACTAAGAGTAAGATTAAATTTGTCTAGAGACTTGAAAACTTCAATTCAGCTAGTACTTAAGCATTGGTGTTATAAATAATTTTATGAAGCAGAAAGGTGCAGTTAAACCCCTGAAGAGCAGTGCCCTGGAGTGGGGCAGAAATATCCTATAGCTTCTAAAGATTCTGAATCTTTGTCAGTAAAAAGAGATTATAATACTTCTGCCTGCCTTGTGTGTGATGCATGACAAGATATGTAACTATCATAGAATCATATGCACAAAAGACAGTGTGGTGAACAGAAATACCATCTTTCTCTGTCAAAACTGTCTTCAAAATATGAGAATTCATTCAAGTCTCTATGTTCTAAAAGTATCCCATGGCAGGATGTCTGGCTTACTTACAAATTGATTGTTGAAGAGGAAATAATTGCCTTTTTGTATTGCAACCTCAAACTGTACTCTATATAAAGACTGCAGCTATACCAGCCTTCTTCTAAAATGCTAAAGTAATATTAAATCGCTAAGTTAGAGGGTCTCCCATGGTGGCGCAGCGGTTGAGCGCTGGGCTGCGAAGCTGCCCGCAGCCTCTGCAGTGCCAGTTCGATCCCCAGCCGCTGGGGAGGGTCCCACATGGTGCACAGACCTCTCCTGCCATACCCGCTGCTCCCCTCAGCAGTGTACTTCGTCAGTCTGCCTTTTCTGTTCCCCACTCTGTCTCTGGTGAATCCTCTCACCCTCCCACGCTTCTGACTGTACCCAGTGCTGGTATAATAAATAAATAAATCTTTAAAAAAAATCATTAAGTTAGATACCCTCAATGAGTGTTAATAAAAGCATATCAACTCACTAATTCTAAAACTGAGCATTATGCTCCTATGAGGGTGACCTGATAAACAACAGACACAGAGAAATGACATCATGACCTGAAGTAATTGTGAATTGAACAAATATGTAGATACATTGAACTTATTCATTTACAGACATAATTTCTTATAAACCATGTTCTTCCAATTACATTTAAAAATTTGTGAATGACCCATTTAAGTATAGATAATCAATACTATGTTATCCTTTATTCTTAACTCCCATTGTGTTCAGAAAGCAAAATTCAGATAGTCATGAATTTGCAGTAGGGTTTTCATATTACTATTGATAGTTATGTGACCTTAGGCAATTTATAAATAATTGATGTACAGAGGTGAAACCTCATACATCTTTTTGTTTGATTTACTAAGTAAAGTTACATAAATAAGTAGCCATGGGTAATAGAAATATAACCTGGCTTTATTCAATTTACTCAATGCTCACTAAACCTTTAGCCACTCAATAAATTCAACTTTAATTACTTATAAAAAGCATTCACATAGCAGATATTATCACAGATATTGTCCCAATTACTTCATAAATATTAAGTTGTTTGTTGCTCACAACAAACCAATGAGTTGAGACCTATTATTTCCCAGAATCAGAGAGTCCCACAGAATTTGTGTCCATTTCCAAGGATGCAAAGCTAAGAAAGAAAGGAAATGACATTCAAACACAGGTAGTCAGGTTAGTTCTGGTTTCTAACAAAAGCATGCTCTGTCTTTGCACAGGACATATTTGTGTGTTCGAGAGTGTTTGCATTTATATGTGAACATATTATCAGTGATCTATAAGTATCAGTGATCTATGATGGGGCCTCCCTGGTGGCGCAAGGGGTTAAGACACAACCTATGAAGCTATCCGCAGCCACTGCAGCACAAGTTCGATCCCCGGCCAGCTAGGGTGGAACGCACATGGCGCAGCAGACCTCTCCTGACTCGCCTGCTGCTCCCCTCAGAAGTGTATTTCAGTCAGTCCACCTGTTCTGTTCCTCACTCTGTCTCTGGTGATTCCTTCCACCTCCCATATTTCTGCCCTGTACCCCAGTTCTTGTATGCATAAATAAATAAATCTTTAAAAAAAAAAAAAAAGGTCTACGATGGTCTAAACAGAACTCTTTAAATCATACTGATTTTCCAGTACTGATCCAGGTCCTTGTAGAAAATGTTCAGATTGTTTAAGTAACAGTCACATTTTCAGTTAATTGGGGAAAAAACTAAACAAAATATAGTTGAGAAGAAAAACTCCATTTATTTCCTTCCTTGTAGTTATTAATTCAATTATTGTTATTATTTTCTCAATTTTAAAATCTTTAAGGTTTCATAACCTTTTTCTAAAGCTTTCTTTGAGGCATCTTTAACCTCTTTGTTCCTTAGACTATAGATCAGGGGGTTCAGCATGGGAATGATCACTGTGTAAAACACAGACGCCATCTTGTCAGTGTCCAGGGAGTGGTTGGCTTTGGGCTGTAGGTACATGAATATCAGTGTGCCATAGAAAATAGTGACAGCCACCATATGGGAGCCACAGGTAGAAATGGCCTTACGGCGCCCCTGGTTAGAACGGATCCTTAGGATGGCAGCAATGATAAAGATGTAGGAGGTGAGGACAATGGAAGAGGAACAAATCATATCAAAACCAGCAAAGGCAAAGATCAGAATTTCTTTTATGCGTGTATCCGAGCAGGAGAGAGCCAAGAGGGGAAGGTCGTCACAATAGAAATGGT